CCCCCCCCCTCATATCTGAACGTAACATCTGAACGGTTCATCTCGTCACCACAATGTTGCACTATCTTGCTGAAGGGTAAGAGGGTTTCGTTAGAATCGTGAGAAGATCCGTCTTAATCCTCGAGCTCAGTGCTTATTTAGTGGTTTTGATAACGGACCCATTCATGATGGCTAAAAGGTTTCGCTTCTTCTTCTGTACTATCCGTGACAACTGGAGGATTGCTTTGTCTTATAGCTCACGGTTTTTTTTAGTACAGTGAGAGTGTAACGGGATTACACGTACTCTGGTATGAAACGGTGGGCCACAAAAGTTGGTGTGACCATTCGAAACTGTGGATTACTCAAGACGATGTAATCACACGATGGTGCGGCTACACTATAACAGAAAGCCGCTACACGGCCCGCTGCAGAGAACGTCTCCCTGGAGTTGAATAGGAGGTCATTATATTTTTGATCTATCATGGCCACTCTGTTTGGAGTAAATAAAGTTTATGTCGCAAATCCGCGGTGCCTCAATGTTTGCCGCGTGACAAAGCTGGCTCAATAACAGTAATACCAAGTCCTGGTTCTATTTCTTGCAACCTATTGTCATCAATCATTACCGAGTATTCCCTGTAACCAAAGAACTGAGCCGCTATGATTTGACTCATTGGAACACGTCTTGGTAACCGCGAAACCTTTTTAAACTTGACATTCTACCAGAACAAATCTGTCATGTCTCGGATTTATTGGCGTTATTGAAATTTGACATTCGAATTCTGTCAGCTGTTTTCAACAGCCACTCATCTTACGTTATGAACTTTTCACGGCTTCACAATGCCCGGGACGCTGAATTTTACAACCAGCAACCCTATTGTTTACCAACCACCGTGGGGCACAGCTTAACCAAATCGTTTTTCGATGGCCGTTATGCTTCGACTGGAAGTTGGTGTTTACCCATGGCGTTTATCGGTCGACCGTGCATGGGGGCTCACCTTTCGCACCTGTCATACAAGAATGCTGTGGAAACGCAGGGCATAAACGTTTGTGACTGCCGTAGATGGAACATCGACGAGCTCACCGCCGCTAAGATGATCCGTGTTTTTGAGTCGGGTCGACGTCCACTGCTTTCAACCCGCTCATATAACGCTCATTTTCCTGCCTGGATCGACCTGCCCACGCTAAAAAACGTATATCTGCGCATTTAACGCAACACTTATTGCATCCTCGAAAGAAGTAGGTAAGCAAAGAAAGCTTTGGCCTTGGTCTCGCCAACAAGAAACGCGTGTGACAGAAAATCGACTCTTCTATTTCCGACAGAAGGTCTGCTATCGTCACATCTTACAATTTTTCTTACTTCGCTACATATTCCTATTTATCACCCCTTTACGAGTAAAAAGGAATTTTAATCACACACCACGACTGTGCATCTGTTGCTGGATACTTCATATGTTGAACTCTTTGTATACAAAACCACTACACATTAGTGCCCAGCCTACTCGCTCACTTATACTCTCTTTGAGGCATTATTGAGCTCACGGCCATTTCGTGGTCCATTTTTTTCTCTGAGAGAAAGTTTTCTCTATCACCTAGCAGAGATGATCCCACATCTCACTCTGAGAGCCGGCGGTGCTTCTACAAACACCTGACCAAGGCGTTCCTTGGCACATTCGCAGAGCCAGTGAACGCCTTCAGGCACTGAAGAATTAGTCTCGACGCTAAAATCGCCAATTGTACTACGCCCATGAATGAAGTTAACGACAGGTGCTTGTTTAGAGAATGTTGCTGAGAACATACAGTCTTCTTCAGACTAGCCGTCAAATTGACCATCATTACCAGGCGCAAAAAGTCACCGTGTACTCTTAATCAAAAAGCTATGACTCCATCAGTCTGTGCTGACTAATGCACCGAGGTTGGGTTCGAACGTCTCACTTAGGAGCATATCCAAAGCTTCTCAACTAGCTATACAACCCTTATTCCTTATTTTATAATGGGCTATATTTAACATTACGTCATACTTAAATTCACAATGAAAGTATCAATTTACCTCTGTAACTATAAAATTCATGTGATGTTTAGTGTGAGGCTAAAAGGCCACTGCTCCCACAACCCCCCCCATCTTTACGGAGGCACGTGACCCCTCACATGACCCTTATTCCTACTGAGTACTTATCATGAGACTTTATCATAATACCTCACTATCGTCCCCGCAAGTCTAATGAAATAGTGTAAGGGTTATATAGACCTTGATAGATACGTACCCCGTTACAGTTCTCTTCAAGGGGGACATTCCGATAGAGAATAGATGTACGGCTCAATGAGCGCGATAAATTGTTTAACATCTATACATCGAAAAGCAATTATATGCTCTCAAATGAATCCCTCGCCGCATACTTTGGCGCCCTTGATCAACCAGCTCGTTCCAGCAGAGCACTAACAGGCAAAAATTGAGATTTTTGGTTTTCTTTGAAGACGTCAATGATCTCACAGGCGCTATGCTCTCGCTTACCGTCTGAGCAAAATTAATCACCTTGCTGGGGTCTGTGGCACCGGTAGCGGCGAGAATAAAGCCAAGCCATATTTTCTGAGTCTTTGATCAACCTGGCGAATTGTCTCGCAGCGCGACACGCACCTTGCAGCGAAATACTGGCGAAATATCAACCGCAGACCACCACAGTTCTTGTAAGGCAAAAACATCATACGTAGTACTTGCGCGAGGCGATATGCTCTTACTGATTGAGTTTGTATCCGACAACATTGTACATGCCTTCAACAGGCCTAAAATCTTTCGTAGCTATTTCAATGAATGTGGCTTTTCGCCGCATCCAGTGCATCGGGTCAATCGATAGGATTGTGCAGCCTCGCGAGCGCATCCAAATGATGACTTATATTCTGTTGATCCTTTGGATGCGCTACCGAGACTGTGAAACGGATTTGACGTGCCAGCACAGCCGAGATAGTTCACGACAGCTATTCGCATAAGGATCGATATCCGCCGGCATAGCAATTTGACATGTGGATTTCATCTTTTGCAAGGTAAAATGTGGTTTTGCGTGCGCACTTAGCATATGATGAACATAACTCTTCTTACTATAATTCTCATCACCTGAGCGGCGTTTACTTTAGCGATATTTTACCAAGCACCAGAGATATATCCCTGGGAGTTTTTGATCTATTTTGGCAAGACTCCATAGCGTTGTTAGTACCTACAGATCAGCACACTTTTTGTTGGCCCCAGCAATAAGCAAACCGCACAGTGTAACACACTTCCCTTAAGCGTGCGAGGTCCAAGCTTGCCCCAAAGTTGGCCAGTGGCTGTACCTGTAGACCCAAGGGAATGAGCAGGGCTTTGGGTGGCAAAAAAACTGAGTTGATGAGCGTCTATCTCAGCTTCTATATCGTGCGTTGTATTTGTCAACGTCAAAGATTAAGCAATACTCCGATCTTGCATATACACTCATGAGCTGAAAAAAAGGGTAGGACGACGAGTATTTTGAAGAATTTTCAAATTTACCAGTTATCATTAGCATTATTGCCAGACCATTGAACAGTTGGCAATCCTGATAGAAATCGCTATTTAAGAGCACTGCCAAAAGTAGTTCTATTGATCAGTAGTGGACTACGGAGTAAGGAAATACCAACAAAAACAATTTTGGGTGCTCACTCTGCTCCTCGACTGAGCTGCAGACTTACTTATATGGTCAGTGCTGACGCGCACCGGGCGACTTTAGTTGGATAAAGTCTATCGATTTTATAGTCACGACATGATACGGTATGTGTTAAATTTGCTCCAACTCTGTTGGACATCTCCATGAACGCAAGGACGGGATTTCCCAGCACATCTCGCCTTGGGAGACTACAGGTGTGCGCGCTCTAAGCAGTGACAAAAGGAACACTCAGGGTGTTTCAGCCTCGAAAAGATTTTGTATACAGGGGACGACATGGCTGCGTAGTGTACAGAAAGGTGTCGGGACTCGTTAAATATGTGTGGCTATTCTCTTCAAAGAATTCTAACCGCGCAAAGTCTTCCTGACGGTGGCCACAGCGCGTGCGCCGATCCTGGTGGCATTTCCAAGTCAGATGCTGACCGACGCAAGTAAAAGTGAAACTCCTCGCGCAATAGGTGCCTGAGGAGCTTGCGCGGCCGATACGATAGTTCTTAGAGCAGTGAAAGCTTGTAGAGCTCTCACTGAGTGTGTGCTCATTCTAAACAAAATCCTTCTCGACAGGCTCCCATTTTGATGAGGAAAGACGAATCAGAGCGCTTTTCATGGTGTATGTAAACACAACATTATTGGCCCATTTGAACTTACAATGAAGCTCACATTACACGGTATAGTACAAAGCCAAGTATCATACTTTACTTGGTGCGGGATAAAAATGATGGAGTGGCACTCGCTGAACGCTGGCCTCACACGATGCGTTGCGAAAGGCATTATTGCTATATATATTAGTAGCAATCTCAGCTAGATTAAATTCCAAAACGATGTTCCATTTGAGCAAGTGTCTGTATCAATCGCTTGAGAGCTATCGATTCGTCATCACTTGGTCGGCCGGTGAGCCTATCCTACCACCGTTGATTGATGCAAGCTTTGAGAGTCCAAACTTCTTCTGTGGTAGTCCCATTTCAGCCTTGGGCCTTTGCTTTATTATCAATTTGCAAAAATATTCTCACAACTCCGGGTGTTCCGACATCTCATTGCCGCACAAAGATGAAAACGAATCGCGCAAGACAAGGGGACTTATCAACGAAAAGCATCAGCTAGTATCGGCATTTTTCTTTTTTAACAATTCAAAAAGACGCAGGGCATTGCGAATGACAAACCAAAAATTCGTGAACGTGTCCTCACTCACATTGGCGCATCCGACAAATCATCGCATGATACAGAGATTCGATCAGGTCGAGCGAGCATTGATGTGGTCACGTCACTCGATCAATTTAAAGAAATTTGGAAAATGACCATTGTAAAAATCCACTTTCACATATAATATTATGTTTCAGTTAAGGCATATTTCCTACTTTTCACGCAATATTCTAACTGGAAACTGAAAAAGGATTTACTGAAACGTTAACATTTACAACGTGAATGACCTGAACTTTTCTAAATACGATAAATCGCACAGTTCGTCTTTCAGATAATTTGGAGTCGCTTGTTCTTCTGCTGATGTAAGAACCGTTTGCCTTGCAGGCTTCAAGTCGAACTTTGACAGGTGAAAGTCAATCAGCTGAGCATTTGATTTACTCTGAATAGAGTCCATCGGGCCATCTGACTGAGCCTCCATTTCTGCTGCCTGCACGCTAAGCTTTTCTAACCGATCGATCTCGACTTTTCGTGTTACAGCAATCGTTGATGCCTGCTGACTTTGTCTCGATAGTCGATCTTCTGTCACATTGATAATTGGCTTAGAAGTGTTTCTCACGGGTTTACCAGCACTTTTGCTACGTCTACGTAATACAGCAGTCGATAAATTTGATGGTTTATCGGGCAAAACTTGGTTGTCGAGGAAATTCGAGTCAATTTCAGCGAGATTTTCACCTCGAATTGGGCGAGTACGCATCGGTGCTGTGTTTGTTTTCTTAGCGCATTGTGTCCACTTAGTCAGCTTCGATACCGTTAACTTCCGCTTATGACTTGATTCCCGGTTTGACTGTCGTAGCTTCTCGGTCAAGTCCGAGCTGTCCAGTTTTGACTCAGTTTGCAGATGCAGAGTAGCTTCCGTTGGCTTGATTGATGTGGTACATCGAGTCGTCATCTCTGGAGTCTTCTTAGTCAAATGATTCAAATTTACCGCTGTGATCTGCTTTGCGGTATCTTGAAGCCCATCAATTTGCAGGTTTGGAGCTTTCACTTTCAAATGCTGCCGAGCTCTAGATTCCGTTGGTAAGCGTCGAAAATCGTTCGACAGGACTGTCGGGGTAATGGCTGAAGTGTGTCGACGACGACGAAAATATGCAGCTGGCCAACTATTCTCGTCTCGCTTTAAACCCATTTCTGGAGTCTGATGCTCTGCGATTGCTAGCTTCTGTGCTTGATCTGAAGCTAAATTTCCTGTACTTGCTCGATTGATCCTCCTATTGCTATCTCTCACCATCTTTGGAAGTGAATCAGCGCGTGACATTCCTAAACGAGGTGGTAATCGACTTGGACTACATTCGCGCAATGATATTCGTAATTCGCTAAATTGAAGCCGCAGACGAGTGCACGGAAGACATGCGTGTAGGTGATCAGAGTGTTTGCTGAAGTTGCATTCATCGCAGATTTTCTGTGGACCACATATGTCTTAATTATATATCAAACAAAAAATCTCGACATTCAAAACTTACGGTTCTGCAGAAGCGGCAGATCGCCTGGTTCATGGAACTCTTTGGTGCGCTTAGGATTCCTCTGCAATTGACCATTATGATACTAACTTGGATAAATAAGGCTTGAGCTTGCTGGTGTCAAATTACACAATGAAGGAGGTGTCAGAAAAGCAAAAACCGAAGATACAGTGATATAGGGGTAAGAAGTGTTGGTGTGCTGCAGTGAAAGCAGCAGGTCAAGCATTTAAGTGGATCATATCCAATTTACCAGCAGGGATGGTGTGCTAGTTTTTCAGCTGGCTGGTGTGATCAGATGGAAATGAAAACCAAGATGATAGAATCTGATGTTCACCCATAATACAACACCGCGATCGCAAACCCTGACTGCTATAATTTCGTGTTGCATGGTTTTCATCACCTATTCTACACAACAACCTACTTAAGTGCACGAATTGTGCGTATGTTACCCATGAAGGTGTAAGATGTCCCCGTGTTCCTTTTATTGAGAGGCTGTCACAAGACACATGTTTTGTACATTTAAAGTCTATCTTCTTAAGCTATTGAGTTAGTGTTACTGACATTGATCTAGAGCAGCACGTTGTTCCTTCCTCTTGTTATTCATCTAATTATCGGGCATCCTTGTAAACTCGCAAGTAAGCGAGGTCGATCGCTACATCAGTCGTATCGGTTTTGATCGGTTCTTCCTCATGATTGCAGCTTGCAATAGACATATTTCGTCGCTCGTGACGAATTCGACGCGGTGGAGCTGTGGCACAATAACCGGAAGTCCCATTCACCCGCACAGTAGTATAGTGCTGTCGCATCCGTTGTAGCATTTGTGCATGTGAAACACTTCGTTGACGCTGTCTCTCTTTATCCGATCTTTCATTCTGCTGTGATTCCGCTTGTGGTATGTCCACGTGTCTTATTTTCTCCGCCCCGGACAAAGTCATCGTTGATGCTCTCTTGACCGAGCAATTGTTATAGGGCAACTCCAGCAACTGCTGCGTTTCGAGGAACTCGGCTGTCGAACTTAACCTGTCATTGATTTGGTCGGATAGACGAGACTTGAGCTGTCCATCGATCGCTTGTTTTTGCAGAGGGACATTCTCGAAAGAGCTGCATTGATTTGCAAGAAGTTTAACGACGACTTGTTCCTGGTGCTGCTTTTGTTTGTTTTGTCGCTGCTGACGATTCTGATCGTGCCGTTCAAGATGTTCGAGCTTTATTGCCTTATCTGAAGGCTCAGAAGGTGCGTGAGCTTCATCCCACGCTATATCGAGACCCACAGACTGCTCGCATTTCTGAGACACTAGACGCTTTTCCTTACAAGCCACACATATGTACTTGGGCAAAGGAGCTTTATTGGATAAGAATCGCCATCGTAACGGTATTAGTTTGGGTACCGACTCGGATGGCGCATTAAACACAACTGTAACTAACGTATTCTTGAGGCTCTGCATAAATATTTGACACAAGAGTAAGCACACGAAATGATACAAGTTCAAAGATAAATGCAATGTGTGTTACGTCTCCACAGAATGCGCAGTGCTTAAAGCCACAACTGTTGCGCTCTGAAATCGACATACTGGCTTCTTTGTTGGCAAATGTCATTTGACAGCACACTTAGTGGCCTTGTTAAACGTCTTGTAGTTATAGCTTGGTGTTTTCAAAGTGGCGTCGCAAAGGCACTAGATTCGGAAATCGAATGTGCACAGAGCAATGGTACTTTTAATACTGCAAAGGCGTGGAACGTTCTTACATACAGCACAGCAAAAAAAGCGTGTCATCGGCATCCTTTTACAGTGTTTCAAGTCGCTTTTTGCTGGGTTGCGGGAAAACACTCTAGATGTGCTCAGAAGGGGACAAATTCTTGTGAAATGTCCCACACAACGAAGCCAAGTTCGTGTTCTGACAAAAGAAGATTTAAGTCTAATGCACATGTAGCTATGATATTGTGGATAAATCTCACTGCGCTGATCGTTACAGTGCACTGCTTGGTAAAGTTTAGCTAGAAGGAAGGCACGTGCAGTGTAACTAGTGTTCGGTATTGTATATTTACATACTGTGTCAGATGTCAGCATTAGCGAGAGCTCTGAATTACTTCAGGCCGCCGGATATTGCACAGAAATTTTCGCTGAGCTCAAATTACGGATCACCTTTTTTAAGCACGCAATATGGAGATCATGACTTTTGTCGGCAGAGAGCATATGGTCAATACAAGCGGATATGGCGAATCTATGAAGGAAACATGTGGGGATGCTTACAATAACGTCAACTTGATTTCGATGCATCCGAGCTGCAGATTTTTCAATTACACTTGTATATGTCAAGCATGTAGTGTGTTTGGCTATATATATCGTTTACGAAGCATACCTCTATTGCTTTATATTTAGACTTCACCACCTTAATGAGCAACTGGTATGGGTTCAAATTTCGCAAGGTCAGCCTAATTTTGATGACAAGGAAAGATTTTTCGCAGCGAAACAGCTCTATTTATCTGGATAATATAACTCTTAATTAATGAGAGACATGCCAGTGTCTAGCTGAACAACACTGAAAAATGATCCTGTTGAAAAGACTTCTCGCTTGAAAAATAGACAAACACCGTTTTCCATCTTCGTATATATCAAGAGTATTTCGGATTATTATCTTGCTTGCGTAATAAGCCTCAGACGTCTTGCTGTAATGACTATATTGTTTTATATCACCTGAGGAAGCAAATGATCGGCTCCCACTTCTCTTCACACTGCGAATTTTTGGGTGGCATTTTTGCACCACAAGAAAATTTCACAGATGCTGTAATACCTATAACTACCGATACTTACCGGTATCTCTTACGCACCAATATTGGAGCGGTCGGTATCACATACCGGTACTTGCACCAACATTGGTTAGTTAGAACTTATGATGGGATTGACTAATCGTACCCGATGAATCGTAACTATATTTCCCTACCAATGTTTCCATAGGATCTGAGCCGATTCTTGCTCCATGGCGCCAATATCAAAGGAGAATCATACGCTGCTATTGCAATGAGGTTGCCGTGCACTTGCACAATGAAAGGTTTGTCTTACTTAAAACGCACGATTTTTGGGTTCGCGTAACCTACGGAGCCAAACGCTTTAAGGAAGTTCGTAACCTACTTTTTGAGAGCGACATTTATTTCGAATTAACTAAGTTCCTATTGATGCTAAACATATACATCCAATCATAACATTATTTGTATTGCTTGAAGTGAGGTGAATAATCCCTAGACACCGCGGACATATCCTTCACAGAACCCCATCATTTTCGTTGGTACCAATATTTTGGTTTGTGTTTTGTATAGCTGTATAGCAGTGCACAATGTACGTGCACTTTTGTACAGTAAGTGCCCTGCTACACCAACCTCTGCCAGGAAGTTTTGGAACACGAGGGGGTTCGATTAAAAACATTGCGCAAATCTGAACCCCCAACGAGCATATACACTGCATTTAATGTTTTAATTCACGCCAGGCGACGCATACAGCGAGTAATTACCTCGTTTATAGGTTTACACGTGTGCACATATATGCTTCCCCATTTATATATCAATTTATCGTACCCAGCTATGTATTAGGTGGCCACGAAAAAGGGTATATTATCTCCAGCAGTATTTCAGACGGCATTTAATGTTTTAATTCACGCCAGGCCACGCATACAGCGAGTACTTACCTCGTTTATAAGTTGACACGTGTGCACATATATGCTTCCCCATTTATATATCAATTTATCGTACCCAGCTATGTATTAGGTGGCCACGAAAAAGGGTATATTATCTCCAGCAGTATATGTGACGGGGTTTCACGTACCCTGGTAACAGGTGTGTGTGTCACATGAGATGGACATGGTGTGACTGCACCCAAACAAGAATACGGTATGTGGCTGGGTAGCCAGTAGTTATGCATGTATTCAGATCTTACTGTATGTTTAGGAAAATCTTTATATTTAAAATTAGGCGGCTTTGCCGCAGATAGAAATAAATAACAATCAGTTTTGGATATTTAACGGAAGAATTAATTGGCTTTGGGTTAAGGCAATAATTACTCTTGGAGTAAGCGGATTGCGATCCGCTAAACTCGTACTTGTTCTACGTATAGAACAAAAAGTTGGTGACCTAAGTTACGCTTCTTCAAAGCGCAAAGCTACGGCAGCCCCGCTGCACTCATTCTGATTTTACACTACAGATCGAGTATCAAATGTACCTTCCTCAACCCCTTACCACTGAAAGATTTCTGCAGCGCGATACGTGTCGCGTCTGATCCATTCGCTTTACGTTTTGCCATCTAAAATGGCGACGTTAACATCGTGTATAGACGGGGGAACGCGAATGCGCATCTGCCAGCACACTAACCCACTCGACTTAAAAGTTTCAGGTCAACTGTATTTTTAGCAACGAAGGATGTATTGTGCGTGAGAGATGTGGTTTCAACGTCGATGTACACAACGTCGAGTGGAATAGGAATCCCTAACAGCTCAAGCAGGTGCAGACGAGGTCATACTTCATTGCAAGTAGTTCTTGGTCGTTTACAAAGTAGTCTCTCTTTCAGATTTGGCTGATGAGACTCATACGGAATTGCGCATCAATTCCTATTGCCATCTGCTTGAAGTGAAACACAGCATATACCCAAGGCTGAAGTTGATAGAAAGACCAAACTGGATCCTGGAAATCCAGAATCAGAACTTGGTCGAGGCTTACTTGAATGTCTCCAAAAGCCACCCCCTTTGCCTCGCTCGGCACCACTCTTAAGTTAACTATATTATGTCGTGGAAAGGTTGATAAGGACTGCGCCATGTGGGCATGATCTGTACTGTAAAGGTAGGCGACCAAACCAAACCACTAATTATCCCCTTTGAGATATAAGTGCTTACCGATCTTCGATGGGTTCAAATTCGTGAGATCTGCCTGCAAATCATCTTATGATGAAGCTATTCACAAAAGAAATATCGTCAATACCACATCTGTCTTTTCCTGAGATCAGGTTGTTGAACCACTTACTGTAGCGGGGTACACATACCTAGAGTGCAATGGGGTTGCACGTACCCTTGTATGAAAGGTTGGGTCACACAAGATGGTGTGACCGTACAAAGGTGTGGATTACACACACAACTTTGAGTAATCACACAATGGTGTGGCTACACCGTAACAAGAAGGCACTACGTGGCGGGACTGCCAGTAGTCATGCATCTTAACTAGGTGTCACTATCTAATCAGATAGTAAAAAGAAGAATTTATTTGCCTTATTTAAGATTTTGGGTATTATTGGAGTATTTGGAGGTAGCGGGTTGCAATCCGTTACACTCGTATTGGTTCTGGTATAGAACGTAAGGTCGGTGACATAGCTTCAATTTTCTCTAACCAAAAATCTACGGTAGCTCCGCTGCACTTACACTCAAGCAATGCTGGCGAGAGTTTAATCAAATTCTTCACATTTTTTGAAATGCTCTACTCTGCATGACAACGGAAGGATATATCGACGAATTAGGTCAGTGGTCAGACAGGATGTAGTCTGATTAGCTGTGTCACCAGACTATAAAAGCCGCTTGCGTCTTAAATAATCTCTGCTGTTTGTACCACTATTACCAGAGCATACCGCTTAGAGTCTCCTTTACAGTGAGAGGATTCTTGCTGACTCTTGAAAGCAGCTGAGAAACCCATCAGATAGGTCAAGCTTACTAAACAAAGCGCAGCCAACCATACTATCCTGCAGCACGACCTCTCAAGGAGTTAGCGTATGTGCCAGAATCGCAGCTAGGTTTGCCTTCATAAATATGCGCAATATACTACTTGCCGTTAGCCTTTTTGACACAGAATTTTGGATGTAGTGCTAACCAAACCCGCTTTATGCTTCACGAGAAAGAAGTTACACCATTTTCATGGTAGGGAACTTTGGAGTGTGACGCCGTATTTGGTTCCGGGAAACGAGTCAAGTTCATGACACCCTTCCCGATCTGTAGACAACACGTGTGGTGAATCTCTCATCTTCCTGTGAATAATGCAACCATATGGACGATACGCTCAGTCTATCTCGTTACTAACCAGAACATTTCTGTAACTTCACCATCTTGCTCTTCTCCGCACATATCCCACAGGGATCATTTCTCTAGCCTATGGAATGTCCTAATGAAATTAGCACAGGAAGACTTACTATCCTTGAGATTATCCCCGTCAATCGACTCAGCCAATTTCATTACAAAACTAAAGAGTTTCACTGCTCCGCATGGTGGCTGTACCACAGGGTGGTTCTGACTCAGCAGTCCGTCCTACTATACCGCACCAATGATAAGCAATCTCTCAACTTCTTACCTGACCTCTTTATCAGCAAAATTCGATCGCTCTTCACCACCACCGGCTCTAGTACAGGATCCGCGGCATTTTGTTGCTTGTACTACTGGCACACGACACACGCAGCTGCTGCTTATCATTTTGCTAGGGATACCCTTAAGGACGACTACTCACCAACATTCAATCTTGTCCCAGCAAAGATACTCTCATGCAATCCCAAAACACTCACTGCCGCTTTTGCTGCCGATCTCCGCTCCAGGCACTTAGATTATGCTATTTAGACGATTTGGATAATCCCAAGTTCCGCACAGAAGCTATTGTAGCTTGGTGACCGTGTCAAAAGCGCTTCTATTATGCGTTTAAGACTTACTAGAAACTATTGATTTCCAGTTGATCTATGGTTCATGGCGTTCAAGCCACGTATACCTCAAACAATATTATATCTTGATTATAGGTGCATGATTAGAAAACAGACAACGCTATTGATGGCTATAAAACTCACCTGAAAGTTCAACATAACCTTTAACACTTTTAGATAGTGTCCCCATCACAAGTCATACAGATGTTGTGACCGTATGCATCTTCAATATGCCTTTTATCATTACAGCTGTATATCGTACGCAATTATATGACGCTCTTCAATCAATCAGGGTCTTCTCGGCCTCTCTAGGCCTGAAACAGTAGTATTTGTAACCAGCTGTTTTTAACTGTAAGTATCGTAAGTTC